TCTGTCTAAGTCTTTGTGTGTCTAACCAATTTGGAACTGATTTTATTATGAGAAACTATTAAAATGTTCTTATTTTATGTTTTTTCAGTCAATCACCGTGCTTAGGCAATTTTTTCATAGATCTTGAAAAAAAAATCTAATAATACGAATAATCTAAAAATAATTGAAGCATTTAAAAAAGCCTTTATCTATGTTCTTATCGTATTCTGTTCTTTCACCAATTCAAATTCTACTTAACTCTGAGCAATAGCCACTTTTTCATTCTTTTCTCTCTTCCTAATCTTATCGACTTATGCATTCAAATATTTACCTCCAAATCATGTCCACTAAATTGCCTTTCACAATGGTCGCACTGGGCACGTCTCTCTGGACAGGTGTAGCGCAAATGATCAGGCATCATAGCCCTCGGAATTTGCGCTCCGCATCCATTGCGACAGGGTGTCGCATCGTGCCTGCAGGTTGTTAAAATGGGCTTTGAGGGCACGCAGTTCGCCGGCCCAACGGCAGCCCAATTTCTGATGCACACAGAATACAACTGGACTGCGGAAGCAAACTGATGAGGGACTTCTCTGATCTGCATCGGGATATATCTGTAAAAATAAAATAATGATTATTAATAAATATATTACTTAAATACTTTTGCTACTCATGTAAAACTGATTGAGAAATGATTGATTGATATATGGAAATTCAACAAGATGATGAATAAAATTGATCAAGAAGTGATCGGCTCACTGAGCCAGTTTGCATTAATGTACTATGAATTTAATGTTTAAGGATTTGACCTTCAGAAAAATGAAACTAACCAGTTGTGAGTAACATTTTACCCTATAGTTACACATAATCAATTTAATCGTTTTACACATAATCAAGATTTAACTGTTTTATACGATTTAGAATTTTCTTTAATAAATGATTCATCATGGGATAGCACTAACTAATAATAAACCACCAAAAACCGTGAATGGTTTTGAATAAATAAAAACAATTTTATTAGATAATTCCGGCAAAATCCCTTACTGGTTTTTAATAAATATAGAGGACTTTGTTAGATGATTCCGGCCGGGATCGAACCGGCGGCATTCCGCGAATCCACAAAAATGAAATGCATTTGCAGCCGAATTGCCAACATTACTTATAATACATATAATTATGTACATGTTGAATTAATTTGTTTAACACATTTCATTTAATATATTTCGTGTTTAAATAATGTATTTTGTTTAAGTGTCATCTGTAACCTACGAAATACCAAAGAGTATATGCTTCGGCATAGAATCGCTCGAACGCACGCCAAAACTATGAACTTTGCTGAGTTTTTAAAGTTCAACAGCTTATCGTAGGCCTATAATATTTTAATATGTCATTTCAGACTACAAAATCTATCGTTACACAAAGTTTTATCAAAATTGGCAAAAAAAAACGACGCGGACGATCTTTACCAACAACTATTCAACACGATTCCCAATCAAAATCTTCTGAATAGTTTTAGACACATTTGCTACCGAAGTACTAACACCTGCTATCTTCGGAAAGAATAAGAGCGAATGGGAATAATTAGAAGATAAGTATGTTTTTAGAGCAAGAATTATAGCATTCTAGATCCTCTCCCCACGAAGTAATGCCTATCAAAAAGAAGAAGAGCGAATGGCAATAATTAGAAGATAAGTAGATAATAATTATAAGATTAGAAGATATTGTCAGAGCAAGAAATATAACATTCTAGATCCTCCTCCCACAAAGTAATGCCTAAGGGGCGTCCATTAATCACGCGATCTATTTTTAAAGGATTTTCGAACCCTCGCCCCCTTTGGTGATATTCAAAATTACCCCTCCTCCCACAAAACATCACGTGTATTTTTAGTTACGAGAAAAAATGGTCACCTTTATGATTTTTTTTAACATTTTTGGATTTGTTTTTAAATTCAAGTAAAAAATAAATACACGTGATATCTTACTATACCCCTCCCCCCCTCCCCGCGTGATATTTCATGATTTTTTATCAAACCCCCTTCCCCCTAAAAACCTCACTTGATTAATGGACGCCCCCTTACGGCGGTTTCCGTGGGGACCAATATTGTAATTAACAGAGGCAAGAGAAAAGAAGGTTTTAATAGGTATTATACCTAGGCGCTATTAAGTCCGGCATATCCATACAAAAGACCTGTGTGGGATGCATACATGCATTTCCTTAAATTTACAAAAAACACACACGCCCTTTTTTAAATTTTGATCTCATTCGATTCAGAATGACTTGAAACGTCGAGAAAACGTTAAATTAGCAATTTATCGCGGATTTTTCGCGAAAAACAAAATTGTTCTTCGACGAGTTAAAAAAATCAATGTTAGGGGCCGTTCAAGTATTACGTAAGCACTATAGGGGGCGGGGGGGTTATTGATTTGCTTATTTTGCCTATTTTTGGTAAGAAATTTGCTTACTTTTGCTGAAAAAGGGGAGGGGGGGGGGTAAATGATTGTAGTAAATCTGCTTACGTAATACTTGAACGATCCCTTATCCTAATATTTTAGTTGTAATTTTTAACGGAGTTAAATTTTAATCTTGATTTTCACGTAGAAGTGATCCAAGCATGATCCAAGATCCAAGTTTATATATTATTATCAAGACATAAATTGAAAATTAATATGTGATTCGATTATTCAAATTTAAATGTAGAGAGTGTCATTATATCTCTATGGATGAATTATTGAAAAATATAATTCTGATCTATTCTTCTCTGTGGTCATTCTTCTACTCTATGGCCGAGTAATTTAGCGCGTTGTGATTCGTTTGTTTCGTTGTGCGCCAGAATTTTTGCTCAGAAAGCTTTCGAGATTCGAGCGGTAAAGTCGTCTAATACAGGAATCCATGTAAGTAGACCTTATATGTACTTATACATTTACATTCAAATTGAAATTAACATTTCTATCAATTAATAGTCTTTACTAAGTAATTAAAACATCATGAGTTCTTCGGATAAGATGAATTACGAGTTCGTCGCGAACAAGCCGATCAAAAGGAAGGATACCCTTAAGTTTGTGCAATTTACTGTTCACGCTAACTTAGTTACCAAGAAATTGGGAACGAAGTATAATTCTGTAACTCAGAGAAAGCTGTTTCATTACAATATCGTCCCGAAAGAGAATACTAATCTAATTGTTAAACATGGCGACCATTCACATTCCTTCTCTTCCAAAAGACCCAAAATCGACAGGGACGGCGACACAACCATGGATGAATCAGAGTGAGTCTTATTAAGATTTAGAATCAGAATCAACTTTACCTAAACCTGAATTAGTAGTTCTAGAGAATTATTAAATTAATTTTGAATGAGATAAACTTATCAACGCTTGCTGCATACAAGGGATTGAGTTATACAAAAAGTTAGCTCGAGTAACAAATTGATTTGCAAAGCTATCCTATACTGATATATACCTAAAACACATTACATGTACATAAGCATACACTATTAGTAGTAATACATTATATTTTTTACGTCTCTATTATAATAATACCCTTTATTAACTATTCCTTTATTATCTCTAACTACAATTTCTATTACACGATTTGTCCCTAGAGATGTTAGCCATATATTATATTTTACATGAGTTTGGTTTCGAATAGTCTAATTAAGATTTAAAATCAGAATCAACTTTAGTTTCACTTAAATTAGTAGTTCTAGAGATTACTGAAATTCATTTTGAATGTGAGAGTAGACAATATGGAAGCTGTATATATAAAAAAATAACTTGTCAATGCTTGCTGCATGCAAGGGATTAAGATATATGAAAAGTTAGCTCGAGTAATAAATTGATTATTAAAGCTATCCTGTACTCTGATATATATCTAAAACACATATCATATACATACACTATTAGTAGTAATACACTATATTGTTAACATCTATAGTTTATAACAATACAGTTTATCTCTTTATCAGCTACTCCTTTATTATTTCTATTACACAATTCGTCCCTAGAGATGTTAGCAATATATTATATTTTACATGAGTTTGGTTTCGAATAGTCTAATTAAGATTTAGAATCAGAATCAACTTTAGTTTAACTTAAATTAGTAGTTCTAGAGAATTCTAAAATTAAAGTATATGAAAAATAACTTATCAATGCTTGCTGCATGCAAGGGATTGAGATATATAAAAAGTTAGCTCGAGTAACAAATTGATTCGTAAAGCTATCCTATACTGATATATATCTAAAATCATATACATACGCACACACTATTAGTAGTAATACTCTATATTGATAACATCTCTATTATAATAATAAACTTTATCTTTTTATTAACTACTACTTTAATATCTCTAACTACAATCTCTATTACATCATTCATCTCTATAGATGTTAACAATAATATTTTATTTAACTTCATTATGCTTAGTTATTTTGAAGTTCAGATATATGAATAAGTACTTCTAAGGCAATTCATCAAACGTAAAGCAAAGATTTAAAAATGAATTTTTAACTTATCCAAATGTTTCGGCATAAGATTTCATATCATCATCAGTGGGTATAAATGTAGTCTTACACAGTAGATGTGCACAGAGCACTATCATTTATTCACTAATTAGTTTTTCAAGAAGAGAATTTTCATATTAGAATAGTGTGATTGAAAAAAACAAAGTGATTGCATATGAATAATTTATATGAATTACAAGATAAGTTTGCATGTCTAAGTTGCTATTGCAATTGGCTCCGAGGCTCAAATGTCCATCTATACATTACTTTATTGATACACTATATATATATATATATATTATATTTATATTATTCTTTTATTTTTAGCACTGAGTCAACTAGTAGTAGATATAGATTTAATCTATCCAAGCAACGAGTTGACCTCATGAAGTGGCAAGCAGATTTGCTCAAAGATATGTCACCCGAAGACCAGAAGGTTTGTACTTTATTTATATTATCAAAGGATTAGTAAGTCAAGAAGATAGATCTCTTCAAATAACATTTATTTCTTGTGATATATAATGCAAGTTTATTATATTAATTGATATATAAATGATACTATTAATATATTATCAAATTGTTCATAGACTTGGCTTGAAGTATTCAGCAAAATAAAATTAAAATCATTAAATTTAAATAAATATAATTATTAAAAACAATTATATCGACTGAATATATATCTCATGTACATTTTAAGTATTGAATTGATATGCCAAATTTTTTGTAAGGATTTTTTGGATCAAGAACTTGAAGAGTATATGCAGCAAGGAAGAGAGGAAGCATCATTAGAAGCTTCCATAAAATATGAACCTGATGATGAATAAATCTTCTGAAATTCATATGGCATTTATGTCAGTTCTTATCATAATAATATAATTTAATTTAAATCAATTTTCTACTTTGATTTATATATTTGTTCGAATTTGAACACTTTTGTAACTGAATTATTTACAATTAGATAATTGTTATATTACCAGTCAATGTTGCATACATTATATAATAATGTTTTCTAATTTTTGTATTAATGATTAATGTTTGTAAAAAAAAACTGAAATATAAAATAACTAACAGTTGTATAGTATTTGATTTATTTCATGTGTACAATTAGCACGAAAGCATGCTAATATTGAGTTTTGTTTTAATAACTTTAATTTTAAGGATATTTATTTAATGTGAGCTTATAAAATAAATGTTTCTTTTTTAACCTTGTTACAATTTATTGCTTGTGTTATAAAAATAAAATTAAAACACTGTATGTTGTCTACATTACATACATACATAGTTTACAATGTATGTAACAGGTTTTATGAATTGTGAATGATGTGTTCAATAACATATACTGAAAAATATTGTTAACTTGTAAGTTAACATAGGTTTTATTAAAAATTATTTTCTTTCTTAGTTTGAGCATGAAAATATAAGTTTTGGTCTCGATGAATTGGGAACTAATATTTTCAAGATATATAATAAGTAATAAGTGCCCTTTCATTTATCATCTTATATATATTATTTTGATAAAAGTTTTAGTAAACAATAATCATCAGAAGTTTCAAAACTGATGAAGGAACACCATATCATTCGAACCTTTTTCATTGCGCGATTGTTTTAAATTAGATTGTTAATGTAACATTACACAGTTTGCGGTCTTTTGCGGGACAAAAAATGTATTCGATTTCAATTTCCGTAGCAAATCTGGGGAATATATTGAAGATACAATTTTCTGCATCTTATAGCCGACAATCGCAGATTATTATGGCATCGCAATTTCCTGATAATCTATATGTATGATGCGCGGATGTGATTGTCCAGTAACTCGTCATGGTCTTAATGGCTTTTGCCGAGAACTGATATAAAATCAGTAGTAATGTATAGTGAATTATTAACTTCCAGAAGGAGAAGTTTGTGTTTTCGCCAGAAAATCCGATTTGCTATTTCCAAACTTTGACGTTTTGTTGACTTTTTCTCAAGTTGTTTTTTAGAATCCTGAACCGATTTTGAAAATTTAACAACCTTTCAAAAGACGTCAGTTGGGAGTAGTGCTGATTAGTTTCTGGTACAGATCGGCAGAATCTTTTTTTATAATCATCACGATTTTTTTTATTTTTCTGTGGCGATAGAGTCCATGGTCTTAACAAATATCTCAAAATTAGTGGCGTATGGCATCGTGCCTTAAGGCAAATTGCTGAAACTTCCCGTACCAAAAATTAATTTAAAAAAAAGATTAAATCTTGCAAAAATTAGATTTATGAGAAATCTTAAATTTTAAAAAAAATTACTTTTTCAGAGGTTTCTGAACATTTTGGCATACCTCAGAAATAATTGATATGTGTGTGTGTGTTTTGTGTGTCTGCATTTTTTGGTCCACGTTTTCTGACGCACGGATCAACCGATTTGAGTGGTTCAAAAAATATTCTATTTCTATTGATAGGGAAATGCGCTGATTAGTTTTTAGAAAAGGCAGGTTTAGCCGTTACGTAGAAGCGGAGCAAAGAGTGCAGAAAATAGAAATCGAGTTTTTGAGGACTGAGCATCCGATTTGAATGATTCAAAAAACTTTCTGCTTGTGTTGACGAAACAATTGCTTTTGGAAAAAAAGAAAAGAACTCAGAATTAATTTTAATTCTAGTTGAAATTCTAAAGCTCATTTATATACTTTAAATAAATAATTTTAACTTTATAATTCAGTGCATATAATCCATATAAATATTAAACAATGTTACACTATTTATAATATTCTATTTGAAAACATTTAGTATTTCTCGAACATTTCGTTACGGTACGGGAAGTTACAGCAATTTGCCTTAAGGCACGATGCCATACACCAGTTTCTCTATGAAATCGATTGGATTTTTTTCTTTTCGTAGTTTCTTAATAGCAACATTGTAAATACGATCGAAGGGCCCGTCAGTATTTTCAATATTACTTTATACGTGTTTGAATAATAAATGATTATGTATGTTTAAATTATTCTCACATCATCCTACGCTGATCAAATATGGTCTTTTGGAAAGCGCATGGACACGATTGCTTTCAGAATCATGTTAATCTGAATACAAAAAATTCCAATCGTTTCACTGAAAATAGACCATAAAATCTCATGTCGATTAGAAATACTTTCCCTGTGTTCTTTGTTTTAGACAATGATTTTCACAATCGTACCTTTCATTGGTATAATTATATTGTCAAATCTAAGAGATGTTTCAAAATTTATAAATATGCACCGAAGAAAAATCATTCTAATTTACCGCAAGTTAGAAATTGTTTTCATTACAAACAGATTTGCATAACCGGTGAAGTAACACAAAGTAAAGTGAAAAAAACAGCTTTGCAAAATGCATTCTTTCTAAAGAATGCATTTTACATGGGAAATATTAAGCGCATTATAATACAATATGACAGAAACTTTATGAATATAATTACTGAACAAGGAAAAGCAATTAATGCACTTAACTATTAAGGGGGGAAGTCCATATAGACGCATGAAAATAGGTCATATTTTAAAAATATTTTTGAACGTGATGGAATAATTTTATTGTTTTTAAACTTTGACATAACTTTAATTAACCCTTTTAGAATACAAAAAAAATATTTAAAAAAAAAATTATTTCAAAATGGCGGCTCAGCATAACTTTTTGTGGACTGCCTCCGGCGCGAGGTCCAAAACTGCTGCATTTCTCACTCATCAACCGTCGATCTGAAAAAAATTTTTTTTAATGCTTTCTTTTGATAACATATCAATGGGAAGGATAAACCTATAAAATTGAAAAAAAAGTATAAAATTCAATGAAAAACAAGCCTTTGAAAAAAAAATCTGAATTTTTGGCTATTTTTTTGACATTTTGGGCTCCAGAAAATACTTTATGAACGCGAAAGATCTAAAGATTTAGGTTTATCCTTCCGATAATAATATAGAGAAAGGCCTCACCAAATTTCAGACAAATCGATACATAACTTTTTGAGCTACAACAGCAGCAGTTTTTGAAAACACAGTTTTGAGATAATCGCGTTTAAAGATTTAGTAAAGGAAAATGACCAGTTTTAGTTACTTACCGATCAATCTGCAATATCAGGTCTATACAATAGTCCTTCCTTATCTTCAAAAAGCTGATTTTCTGTAAGTTGTTGTTATTTGTGAGCTGTACCAGCATCTTTTATTTGTGAAAGGCTGCTACGATCCTAACAAGTTATTCGCGCCTCATCAGTATTATCAGCATATGCTTTAGCATAAGTACCAACAGTCAAATTCAGAAGGTTCATTATTCTTAATATTGAACTAAAACCTTCAATAAATATCCTAGCTGCAATATATGGTGAAATTTCAACTACCCTTAGTCCACAATGTGGGTGTTTTGGTGATAATCCGACTATAGTCGCCAAACTGTCGCGTTGAAACTTTCATTCGCGTTCTGCGTATGATCACCAAGGCATCGTTCAAGTGAATTATCTTTGGACAAATCTTCATAAATTGGTGAAAGATGATGTTTCATTTCTTCACCAAGTAATGGAGCTAAATCTACGTCTAGAGGATCTTGACCACTGGCACTTTCATTATGACTTGTACTGGCGTCAATTTTTTCACCTGCTTTATCAGTAAACTGATTGCCCTGATAACGTCTTTTTTAGTGTTATTTTGTGCAATATTACTTCATTACTTTGCTTACCTTTTAGATAATTCGGCATTTTTACGTATTGAAATGAACTGAACACTACGAATTTTCCAGCTAAACTAACTATATTTCTCGACTAATCTTTGTTCGTATACCAATATTACACATGTACTAAGGTACATAGAAGTCTTCCGGTTGTAGGTCAAAAGAAGTATTTCTAGTTATTATAATGAAAGAGACCTTTTTCACTCGAAATTTAACAATACGCTTGATCGCTTGACAATGCGCACTCCGGCCCGCCCCGTTATGTTAGCTATAACTTTGTTAATATAAGAGATTTTTTTTTGTCGACTCGTTAATATACGCTCAACATACTATACTTGCAGATTATCGAAAAAAAAAATTTTCAATTTTTTGAAAATGTTATATGGACTTCCCCCCTTAAGCCATACCCGCTCTGGAGTGAAGTAAAGCAGTGTGAAATATTTTTAATGATAATACTGCGCTCTCTAAAAGATTGTAAGTTAAGATTAGATTTAAAGCCAGAGATGGGCAAACATTAGTTCCGGTTTGTAGAAATGCACTAATTACTGCTATGTGGTACTGTATGGGTTCGTGCTGAAAGCAATAATATTGGGTACATTCAAAAAACATTCGAGTCGTATTGATAAGGAGACGTGCTGATTAGTTTTTGGCAAAGGCAGGTCGTTCCGAAGATACGGGGCAAAATGTGCCAAAAACAGTAACTCAGTTTTTGAGAGAGCGGAGCGTCCGATTTTAATAACTCAAAAATCATTTTACTTGTATTGAGAAGAACAGATAGAACAAAGAAGATAAAATTTTTGGGAAGGCAAGTCTCAAAAAAATGCCATTTAGACATATGCACATCAAATTATCAGATACTTTATGGAGACTTTAATAATGTGTATCAAACTTGTTTAGATTTCTATGGGTTTCGTAACATTGTTTATCCGTTATACGGCGACGCGGCGCTTACGCGCTTCGATATTTTGTCTCTATGCAGCTAAAGCAGTGCGATTGCTTTGAAAAAAAGTTGAAAATTTCCAAAATATCTAATAATATTATAAAAATAAAAACTATAAAATCCAAAAGTTTTTTTTTTCCAAAAACGTCATTTTTTTTTTGAAAATTTAAAATTTCTCAAAACTCTCTTTTTAAAAAAAAATAATTTTTCGTACAGGAAGTACCAGTAATTT